TACACTTTCTTCTCAGCAGCACATGGATCCTTCTCTACAATAGATCATGTACTATGCAATGGGTTACAGAAGACATCAATGAGTAGATTAAAAAGTTTTTAGAGGTAAATGAGAACGCAGATATGGCATATAGAAATCTCTGGGACACTATGAAAGCAATTCTAAGAGGAAAGTTCATTGCATGGAGTTCATTCCTTAAAAGAAGAGTCAACAAATAAATGACTTAACATTACATCTAAGAGCCCTAGAAAAAGAGAGAAAATCTACACCAAAAGCAGCAGAAGACAGAAAATAGTTAAAATCAGAGCTGAAATCAATGAAATTGAACAAAAGAAACAATTGAAAAAATTGTCAGAAAAAAGTTGTTTCTTTGAAAATAAATAAATAAAATTGTTAACATGCTAACATGCTAACAAAGAGAAGGAAAGCGAAAACTAAAACATGACCCTTAAACATGCTAACAAAGAGAAGGAAAGAGAAAACTCAAATCACAAACATATGCGATAAAAAGGAAATATCAAAAAAGACACAACAGAAATACAGAAGATAATTAGAAATTATTTTGAAAACTTGTACTCTAATAAAATAGAAAATTTTGAAGGCATCAACGAATTTCTAGAGTCATATAATTTGCCCAAATTGAATCAGGATGATATACAGAATTTAAACAGATCAATTTCAAGTGATGAAATAGCAGATGCCATCAAAAGTCTACCAACCAAGAAAAGCCCTGGACCAGACAGATACACAGCCAAGTTCTACAAGACCTTTAAAGAAGAATTAATACCAATGCCTTTCAATTTATTTCAGGAAATAGAAAAAGAGGCAGCACTTCTGAATTCATTCTATGAGGCCAATATCACTCTGATTCCAAAAATCAGGCAAAGACACATGAAAAAAAGAAGACTTCAAATCAATATCTCTAATGAACATAGATGCAAAAATTCTCAATAAATTCTGGCAAATTGAACACAAAAACATATCAAAAAGATTGTGCACCACTATAATGTGGGATTCACCCCAGGGATGCAAGTTTGTTTCAACATATGGAAATCAATAAATGAAATTCATCACATTAATAAACTTAACAAATCATATGATCATCTCAATAGATGCAGAAAAAGCATTTGACAAAATGTTCAAAACACTAGAAAAACTAGGGTTAACAGAAATATCTGAACATCATAAAGGCTATTTATGTTAAGCCCCAGGCCAACATAATTATAAATGGAGAAAAATTGAAGGCATTTTCTCTAAAACCTGGAAAAAGTCAGGGATGCCCTCTTTCACCACTTCCACTTAACATAGTTCTTGAAACACTGGCCAGAGCAATTAGATGAAAGAAATTAAAGGGATAAACATAAGAAAAGAAGAACTAAAATTAGCATTATTTGCTGATGATATGGTTCTATACCTAAAATCAATAAATGGGATGGACTCAAACTAAAAAGTTTCTTCTCAGCAAAAGAAACAATCTGTGAGGTGAATAGAGAGCCTACATCTTTGGAGCAAATTTTTAACCTCTCACACATCAGAGCACTCTTCTCTAGGGTATATAAAGAATTCAAAAAGCTAAAGACCAAAACAACAAATAAGCCAATCAGTAAATGGTTCAAGAACCTGAAGAGACAATTCTCAGAAGAGGATATACAATCAATCAACAAATACATGAAAAAATGTTCATCATCACTAGCATTTGGAGCAATGCAAATCAAAACCACTCTTAGATTTTGTCTCACTCCAGTCAGAATGGCAGCTATTGTGCATACAAACAACAAGTGTTGGCTAGAATGTGGGGAAAAATGTACACTCATACACTGCTGGTGGGACTGCAAATTGGTGCAGCCATAGTGGAAAGCAGTATGGAGATATCTTGGAAAATTTGGAATGGAACCACCATTTCACCCTGCTAACCCTATCCTTGGTCTATACCCAAAGGACTTTAAAACAGCATACTACAGGGACACAGCCACACCAATGTTCATAGCAGCACAATTCACAATAGCTAGACTGTGGATTCAAGATGCCCTCCAATAGATAAATGGATAAAAAATGTGGCATATATACACAATGGAATTTTACTCAGCAATAAAAGAATAAAATCATGGCATTTGTAGGTAAATGGATGGAGTTAGAAAAGACAATGCTAAGTGAAGTTAGACAATCCCCCAAAACCAAATGCCAAATGTTTTCTTTGATATAAGGAGGCTGATTCATAGTGGGATAGGGAGAGGGAGCATGGGAGGAATAGGTGAACTCTAGATGGGGCAGAAGGGTGAGAGGGGAAAGGAGGGGGACATGGGGTTATAAATGATGGTGGAATGTGATGATCATTATTATCCAAAGTGCATGAATTGATGTGAATATACTTTGTATACAACCAGAGATATGAAAAATTGTGCTTTATATGTGTAATAAGAATTGTAATGTATTCTGCTGTCATATATAAATAAAAAAAGAAAAATAAAAAGTCATTAAAGACATATAGTATTTGAACAACATAATAATGACCTAATTATAATGTTCAGAATATTTTTTACAGCTGCTCAGTATACATTATTTAAAAATATATTTTGTTGTAACTCTCTCTCTCTCTCTCACTCTTGTTTTATTTTTTTCTGTATTGGGAATTGAACACAGAGACACTTTATGACTAAGCTATACCCAGCCCCTTTCCCTCTTTTTTTTTTTTTTCTTTTTTCTTCTTTTGTGACAGATTCTCACTAAATTGCGTGAAGCCTCATGAAGATGCTGAGGCTGGCCTTAAATATGCAGCCCTCCCCCTCAGCCTCACAAGTCATTGGCCTTACAGGCATATATCACCACATTGGGCTTTCACATTATCTTTAAACATGGAATTTAAAAAATATCCAATTAGTCTTGGAAATTTTCAAAAGATTAAAATTACACAGTAAGAGACTGAGTGTACACTGGTATTATTTTATTGAAAAGCTTTTGGCAATAAAAATATATCAAATATTTCAGTATTCTGTTCCAATTACTGCCAGCTGGCCCTCAGTCTTTAGCCAAGTCAAGCCTTTGGAGAATATAAGCAGGCCAAAACTTATAGTATGTATTGTATTTCAATGAAAATTTATATATTTAAATGTTTATATTAGAAAAGGGGAAAAAGGCAGAATACCCAGTAAAGTAAATGTTCATTCAAAGTGTTAGAAAAAAACAAATTTAACTTGATAAAAGTAGAACAACAACAATAAAGACCAAAAATCATCTTATACACCATTATGAAATAGAGACCCTGGGGAGAAAATCTGCTTCCTTTGAACTGAAAAAGTAAAAAATTCAGAAAAAATTAATGAAGTCAGATAAGAAAAGGCATTAACAACCAATATCATGACTGAAAAAGAGAAAACACACCAAAACTTTCAGCCAGAGAGTATATGATGAGACATTTTATATTAATAAAATCTGAATTGTTTTATAACTATTTAAATAGTTGTATTCATATTTTAAATACTTTAAATACACCAAATGACTTCTCTGTTAAATTCTTTCTAATACTGAAAGAAGTAATAATTCAGTTGTTTTCACAAACAATTCTCTATTCATTTTATGAAGCCAGTGTAAACTTGATACCAAAAGAACCCCCCAAAAACCAAAAAACAATTTGTGAAGAACATTGTAAGAAAAAAAAAAACTAAACTAGAAGTTAGACTCACTCATGAACCTATATGTAGAAATCCAAAATGCATATTAACAAGATAAATATGAGCTTACTTCAAGAATATAAGCATGATTTAATATTTAATAATAAACCAGTCTTATTTACTTCAGTAAAAGAAATAAGTTGGTGCAATGACACACATCTGTAATCCCAGAGGCTTGGGAGGCTCAGGTAGGAGGATTGCAAGTTTACAGTCAGCCTCAGCAGTTTATGAAGGCACCAAGCAGGTGGGTGAGACCCTTTCTCAAAAAAAAAAAAAAAAGAAACAAAAGGGATGGGGATGTGGCTCAGTGGTTAAGCATCTTTGGGTTCAATCTCCAGTAACAACAGAAAAAATAAATAAAGAAAAAACTAATATGATAGATCCAGTTAAAAAATTTAAAACCATTAGACATAATTAAACAACAATTCATAAGCCTTCTAGGGAGTGCTGATCAATAGAACTTTATGTAGAGATGGAAATGTTCATCTATTCTGTTCAAAATCTAATATGAATTGTCTAATACTATCCACCTATGGTTATTGAGCACTTAAAATGGCCTTATGTGACTATGCAATTGAATAATTAATTTCATTTATTTATTATTTTTAGTATTTTTGATGCTTAGAAATTTATTTTAGTAACTAAAGCTATTTTAGACTTACTTAAACATGACCTTCTTTTAATATAATATGTGTGTAAACAAAAAGGAAAGTATAAGCACAATAATTAGATGTAAATTCCTAAAACAATCCTCATCACTAGTCTGATTCTTCTGAATTACTGTTTTAACTTTAGATTTAAAAATAAATTGTAGAGTCACATGGAGTTGTAAGAAATAATACAAAGATTCCTTGCACACTTGATCAGTTTCTCCTATCTTAATATTTTATAATACTAGAGCATATCACCAGGAAATCAATACTGATATAATGCATTCATTTTATTTAGATTCCTCAATTTTTTACTCTGTGGTAAACCACCCTTGGGTTAAGTCTCCAGTACAAAAAATAAAATAAAATAAATGCAGGAATATACAAATATTTAAAGAAAATGATAGTTAATAAAGTACTTCATAATATTCCTCTAAGTTTTGGCTTCATAGTGGTATTGTTCAAGTTATATTTTTTTATTTTTTTCAAGTTATATTTAATGTACAGAAACAACACATTAACAAAATTCTAAATGAAATGTTGATTTCTGTAAATATCATATAAAAATGAAACTACTAAAACTAAAAGTGTGAAAAAAAGTAGTTTGTAAAGTTTTGTGTTGCAGTTTTATTTGATGGTACTCAATTATGTATGATTCATAACACCTAGTATTCCTTTACAGAATTGTACACATAAAGACTGCTGTGATCCTTCATCATGTAAGTTAAAACCCTCAGCAGTATGTGGCTCTGGAGAATGCTGTACAGTACAGTGCAAGGTAAGTGGCAATTTGTAGTTGATAATAATTTAATGTTCTTTACTTGAGGTATGTGTGTTTTAAGGAGATAGAAAACATTGATACCACATTTGGCCTTTTTCTGTATTATATTCAAATACAATTGGACCCAATTGCATACTTTATTCCATTTAGTAATCTTTCCTTTCCTATACTGTCATATGTCTGATGTTTTTACTCTCCCAACTTGACTTCCCATTTCTATAGGCCATTATGAATCTTCCTGTGAACCTTCAAAATTTTTTCTATAATCACCATCCCCATAGCAATTATCTTATAGTCATGTTTTTTAAAAAATCAAAGTTACATAGGATTATAAAGTTAGTGTTTTATTGGACAAATTTACTTCACTGTCTTCAGATAAAATAGTCTTTTCTTTTACAATTCATTCAGGTATTATTGCAATAATTCATTGCTGCTTTATTAACACTATTTAAAGAAATTCCAAATCATTTTCCACATGTACCCAGCATAGTTTACTGGGTTCTAAGAAAAAAATTCTGAATGAGGTAAATAACAAAATCCATAGATTAGAGAAAGTATATGATTTTAAAATTAAATTATTATATAATTCAAAAGCTAGTTCAGGAAAATGATCTTAAAAAATTGCAATCCTTAACTTATTAAGAGAGCATCAGAAGAAGGGAATGGAATAAAATAAAATTAAAGGTATATGAAATGAAGATTACAAAGTACATTTGCAAATTAAACATAATATCAACATAATGTAGTGAATATTAGAATAGCTGTGGCTTAAATTATTGACATAGAAGAGAAAGAAGACATACCCAAATATAAGGATTAGATCAGAATGAAAAGAGAAAAAATAGGTAGTGATGAAAACATGATTTTTACATTTCTTCTTTATTTATCTGTTTTTAATTGCTTTATTATAAATATTAACTCATATAGTATAATTATTCAAATTAATGTGATTAACTGCAACATTTTCATACATGCATATTTCATGCTTTAATCCTAACCAACCTTTCTACTAGTCTCTCTTGTTTTTCTCTTTTGCTACTTCCCCCTGATCTTCTATACCTTCTTTAGTAGTCTCTCATCTATTTCAGGTTTATTCACTTTTTTAAAAAAGTATTGTATATGAGGAAATATGCAATACTTGTATTTCTGTGTCTCCTTTATTTTGTTTAATATAATGTTCTCCAGCTGTAAACATTTAATTTCAAATAATAATATTTAATTTTTGTGTATACTTGTCATGTTTTCTTATATTCATCTTTTGATGATCTCCTAGCCTGATTCTATACCTTGGCTACTGTGAGTTATATTGTAATAAAGATAGGTATGCAGATTTATCTTCTAATGTTGACTTGGATATCATAGTTGAATCATATGGTAATTCTATTTTTATTTTTTTAAAAACCTCCACATGGATTTCCATGGTGGCTGGGTTCCCTATTTTACTCCACAGGTATGTGTGTCTGTTGGATCTGTTGTACTTCCAGCGTTGATTTTTTTTTCCTGAGGATTGCTTTGTGTATTTGGGTCTTTCATGCTTCAATATGAATCTTAGTAGGGCTTGGGGTATAATTTCAATTCTTGAAAAAAAACAGCTGCTAACCAAAATTGCTTCATTCAGCAAAGCTGTCCTTAAGAATCAAAGAAGAAATAAAAACCTTCTAAGATAAGCAGAAACTAAAGGAATTAATGACTGCTAAGCAAGACTTGCAGAAGATATTTAAAGGCATCCTCCACACAGAAGAAGATAAAAAGAACAAAGAGAGGTTAGAAAATCAGGAAATAACAAGGAGAGGTCAGTCTCATTAAAAAAGTAGATAGGCAAATGAGAAATATAATTGAATCTAACATCAGAAATAAATCAATATGACCACTCTATCATAACACTGAAAGTAAATGGTATAAATTCTTCAATTAAAAGACATACACTAAAAGGTGTATGTTCTCTGTTTGCCTCATAGGCAAAGACATTGATAGGTTAAAAGGTTAAAAAATGGAAAATGATATTCCATGTAAATAAAACTGAATGAAAACAGGTGCATCCATATTCAACAAAGTAGGCTTCAAGCCAAAATTTGTTAGAAGAGACAAAGAAGATCAGTACATATTGATGAAAATCCAACAAGAAGGTACAATGAGAATAAGTTATTATGCCCTAAACATTGCTGAACCTAATTAGATAAAATAAACATACTAGACATAAAGCCTCAGATTGGTGCTAATAAAATAATTCTGGGTGATTTCAATACCTCTATCACTAATAGATCATTCAGGCATAACAGATACTACAGAATCATAATATATTATAGATCAAATGGACTTAACAGTCATCTACAGAATATTTCATCCAACAACAGCTGAATAAACTTTCTTTTCATCTTGCATGAAACTTTGTCAAAAATTGTTCATATTAAGCAAGTTTTAGCAAATATTAGGATGTTGAAATGTGTCCTTGAATCTTATTAGATCATGATATAATGAAATTAGAAATCAACAGCAAGGTCACCACAAAAACTACACAAATGCATGGAATACATTTTTAAGTGATGAATGTGTCATTAAAGAGATTAGAGGAGATATTAAAAATTCTTAGAATTAAATGAGACTAGAAATGCAACAAAAGTGACAGAAATTATAAAAAAATGAACTCAAATTGTCCGTTTGCAGATGATGTGAACCTATACTTAGAAGAATTCTAGCAGGTAAACAAATTCAGTAAAGTAGTAGGATAAAAAATAAGGATACAGCTTTTCTACATACCAATAATGAATCTGAAAAAGAAGTCAGGAAAATTATCCAAGAAAAAATGATAAACATAGGAATAAATGTAATGAAAGATATAAAAGGCTTCTACAAGGAAAATTACACAACAATGAAAAATGAATAAATGAAGATACTAGAAGATGAAAAAAACTTCCAGGTTCACATATAGGCAAAGTTAACATTGTTATCATGGCAATTTTACTAAAAGTAATCTACAGATTCAATGAAATTTCTATCAATATACCAATGACATTCTTCACAAAACTAGAAAAAAATAGCCTAAAATTAATATGGAAGAAAAAAAAAAACAATCAGAATAGCCACATTGATTCCAAGCATGAAGAGCTATGCTGGAGGAATCACAATACCATTTTTAAAATTACACTACAGAGCTATAGTAACAAAAAACACGTGGAACTGGCATAAAAGACATGTAGACCAACAGAATAGAAGATTCAGAGACAAGTACACATGGATACAATCATCCTTGACAAATGTGCCAAAAACACATGTTGGAGAAAAGATAACCTTTAAAAAGAACACCTAGCATAACACCTACTATATGTCCTCTCTAACATGCAATAGTTAGAAATGTGTCTTTATATGACATATATCTAGAATAGAGACTGGCATTTAGTAGGCCCTAAAAAATATCAATAGGTGCTATGGTTTAAATATGTTCTCCAAAGATGATAGGTTGAAAACTTAATCCTTAATGCAGCAGTTTTGCAAAGTGGGACCTTGAAGTGGTTATTAGGTTTGGGCAGCTCTGACCTCATAAATATATTGATTCCATTAATAATCAGTGGGTTCCACACCCAAGCAGTGAGTTCCTAATGAAAGAATTGAGTTGAGCCTCCTCCTCTCCATCTTCCCTCTCTTTCATTAACACATATGCACACACCTGCCTCTTTCCCTTCCACATTCCACCATGGGATGATGCAGCAAGTAGGTCCCTTAGTCATAAACTTCTGGCCTCCTTCTAGAAAACAAATATATTTTCCTTATTAATTATCCAGTCAATTATATACTGTAATAACAATACAAAGTAAACTGAGATAATGAGTGAATGAATGAGTGAATTCCATCAGCAACGACAATTCTACCAAGGGTAATCTCCTGTCCTAACACTGAGTTAAAAGGAAAATGAATTGGAAATTTAGAGGGAGTAGTGATTTAAAAGGAAATATATTTTAATATATTATTATATATTAATAACAATAATAATAATTAATAATATATTAATATATTATTTTAAATATATTATTCTTTAGGGGAATAATAACTAAAAATGTGTGTGGTGGTTCATGAAATATAATATATATGTTTGTTTGTTTCATTTTGTTTTTTAACTCAACTACAAAATGTGACCCAGTTTCAATGTATAAGGAAACCATTGACTTCTTCTAAAATTTGGGAAATTGTGGATTTTATTCATAAGTGCTGAGAGTGTATGTGTTTTGTGTGTGTCCTTTGAAAATTTACGTAAAAAATGATCCTGGGAAAACACATTACCCTATGTAAAAAAAAAATGAAAGGAGATCTCTCTCATCCTGCAAAAAAAGTGAACTCAAAATGGGTCAGAGACCTAGGAATTTGATGAGAAACTTTGCAAGTCCTAAAAGAAAACATAGGGGAAACTCTCTAACATATAGGTGCAGACAAGGATTTCCTGAACAGAATTCCTAAAGTTCAGAAAATAATATCAAGAGTCACAACAGACACTAGTATGGCAATATGTAAATCAATGGATGTGTAACTGATGTGATTCTGCAATCTGTATATGGGGTAAAAATGGGAGCTCATAACCCACTTGAATCAAAGTGTGAAATATGATATATCAAGAACTATGTAATGTTTTGAACAGCCAACAATAAAAAATTAAAAAAAAAGAACTGTGTAATGTTTTGAACAGCTAACAATAAAAAATTAAAAAAAAAGAGTCAATAGAAGGTATTGGTTTCAAATTAAACACTTCTGTAGAGCAAAACAAGCAATTAAAGGCATGAAAGGAAAGCTACTCTTCCAAAAGAGGATTCATACGTAGAACATATGAACACAACCCCTCCCCCAAACAAGCAAACAAACCCAAATCACCCAATCAATGAATAGACATAGTAACTAATATAGACATTTTCTAAAGAAGTGCAAATGGCCAAGTGTATGAAAAAAAAGTTCAACATCATTAGCCATCATGAAAATGCTAATCAAAACAACACTGAGAATTCATCTCACCC